AGCTATCATTTTGGCAATAGACCATTGATTTTATTAATGCTTATTCAGTTTTCAGAAACTTTTCATGTTGTTTTCTTCTATACAGATAAAAAAAATGTAAGACATGCAATAATGATTTGTGATACAATATTGTTGTTTGAACCTAAGGAAACCTAAAAGCCATCTGTTCCCATATTGCCAAAAAAGGCAGCACAACAAACCTTAAAGGCAGTTTAATTTGAGTCAAAGTGTGAAATTCTGCTGAAAAAGCTGCTGCTTCTCTTGTGCTCTCTGAAAGCAACTTATTTCCATTAGCTCCTGTGGCGTACAGTGCGATCACTCCAAACACAATGTCATATCAAGTGCTGAGACTTTGTCATAAACACTAGAGTTAATGTGCTTTTAGATCATAAGCTAATGTGATTTCAGAAATGGAGGCAGTCGAGGAAAGACAGACAGACAGAGAGCTTTAGGGTATTAGTCTGACTTGTTGTCTGATTCATGTAGCCTCTGTGTCTGTGGCAGCTATTTTCCTGGGCAACTCTACTTTGACGGCCAAAGACAGATGTCAGCATTGGTAGTATTATCCTATACAGCTGCCTAACATCACCACAGACTTGTGTTTCAGAAGGGCAGCCAGAAGCCAGTGGTTTTAAGACGTTAGAATAAAATGAGTGTTTCAGCAATAGTGCCTGTGATAGTGGGATTTTTCCTGGTTTGGAGTTGGATTGCTTTGGCCTATCATTGTTCTGCTTTGGAGCATGTTTCGGGTCTATGTTTGGTTTTCCTTCATCACCTTGCCTACACTTCTATTCCTGGTTCTTGGCGTGAAGATGGAAATGTAAACCGCCTGGCCGACTGAACAAGCAGCTCTCTCAGAACCAGACTGCCACCTCGTACTTCTCTTGCTTGACTGAAGCCCTCAGTAACCACTTTATCACCCTGTGGTACTGAAAGGACCCCCTTCATACTGGCTGAGTTTATGACCTTGCATTCTCAGACCACGGGTCTAGATATTGATCTTCATCAAAGACTCTCTTAGCTCCCACTTTCAAGTTAGGTCTGATGTGGGTAGCCTGGTTCTTTTAAAAAGCCAATCAGAAACTCTTAGCTGGGTACCAAGACTTTCTGGATTTTTCCATGAAGCTTGTTGTAATGCTTTATTTTAATGTACCTGCATGTAGGGATACTTGAGAAATAGCCTAGCAGTGGCTATGGAATGACATTCACCTACACTTTACCTCACTTCCCACAGGAAGTTGCAGCTTACCCACAGGAAATAGACACTTTCACATGAGGGCCCACTTTACAGAAGGGCCCAGAAAGAAAAACACAAATTACTACAAATTTTGACAATAAGTTGCGTTGACATTTTGAACATTTTACTTCAATTGCTTTTTCAGCATGATGCTCACTTTTTTCTTTAATCCACTCTCTTTCTCATCCCAAAAACACACCTGTTTGTTAACTCTTAGGCTATTTATAGTTCAGTCCCATGATAGAAAGCATATTGTCTCTTATTTGTTAGGTCTGGTTGCCTGACCCGCTTCTATCATTGCATCATTCCGAGAGGAGGCTGGAGTCCAGGCTTTATGAATGAACTAAGCTTCTGCCAGAGGATGGGAGATGGCACCGATCCCACTGTGATGTCACTCCAGAGACGAGGAGCAAAAAAGGCAGCATTATCCTCCCATTCATATGTTTGCCATCTTCTCTCTTTTTCTGCCCACCCCTGATACCCTTGTCCTGGGATGGGATTCTTTTAAAGTATAGTGACTCACTCCCATCGACTCCGTTGTCTCCCACCTTTGCTATTTTTCCCCTAACTAGGTCCTGCTTTTCCCAGCAGTGCGCGTTTGAGCCCAATCAGCTTGAGCCTTGGCTGCAAGAACGTTAATTTCACACCAACGCTCTGCAACGCAAGCAAAGATGGCAGGAAATTTAGGTCATATGTATGGGTGTTTATATGTGGGTCAGTGCCTAAAGAACTGAACAAATTCAATGTTTAAGGTTGGGAAAATGATCAGAGGTGAGTAAAGGGCCATAGCTTTTCAGTCACTGGCATTATGGCAAATGAAGAAAAAACTAAATGTTTTTATCATACATCTAGACCGAGCACTGGTCTTGATTCATTAGTGATTCTCAGAAAAAAAGATTAGCTTATTATTCATTCTGCATCATTAGGAAAAATGAGCTTCATTTCATACTTTCCACTACATACTTTCAACCCTTTCCTTTTGCTGCTCAAATCTTGTTGGGCAAATGTGAATGTCATAATGCTGCATGCGATTTACACCCTCTCCCACATTTTGTGAGCTAAGTGGATGGGACTCATTTTGCGGACAGACCCACACCATCTAATGTGGAAAGTGATGACTTGTGGATGCTTTAAGCATACTGACCATTCTGTATCTAATGGGACTCGCAGGCTTTTGAAATCGTATCAGGACTTCATCATTTACTGGGGATCGTCTTGAGCCGAGCTCGCCTCTCTTGCTAATGGACGCGCATTGTACATTAGCGCTGCCGCAGATAACTTTCATATGGATCATTCACCATGGAGACTGCTCTATTATCACTCCACTTTAACGTTTAGAATTTGCTTTTCAACATAGCTTTGCTCTCTGCTTGATGTTTTAAAGATTTWATCTCTATTCGCCAAAATAAAAAAAATGGCTGTGTATGTGCATAACACATTAAACAAGGAATAAAACATCATTTTTTTCATCAATGTTAAACATTCCCAACTTGCTTTGACTTTTTTGCAAGAAAGTACCCCCATGGAAAAAAATACAGAAAAATAACACAATTTAAATTACACAAGTTCATTTGACCTTTAATCACAGTTCACTTTTTTTTCCTTTTTGATGTGCCCAATGTTAGTTCTCATGCACTGTGATGTCGAAATGTCTTTGATGGAGGTTTTAGTGCTAAAGTGGGTTCAAGTCTGCGTGGGTGAGTACACGCTGGGGCTGGGTTGATAAAAGCGATGGTGAGCGAAGGGGCGGGGGTAAATGGTTCGAAAGTGCAGACAAACGCCACTCGATCCAGCTTAAATAAACGGCCACATTTTGCCTCCGTCTTCACATCAAAGCGCCGACAGTCTGAGCCCCAGTCCCATCTTGCAACATGAGCGCTTCTGTGCTGCTCATGCTACTTCAACAACAAATTTGCAAAGTTAAAGACAAAATCACTGCTAAGGGCAACTAAACACCGAAAGCTTCTCAAGTATTTTCTTTTAAACTAGTGAGTTTATTTTGATGTGTGAGCTCATAAGACAAAAGTTCTTATGAAAAATTATTGAAAAAATGTTGATTCTAAGCCGTTCCAAAGACTAAAATGTTTTACTTTCTGTTTCTGTACCAGTATAAATGACAACATACAGAGAAAATGCCATTGCAGCTATAACCAAATCATGCAAAAAAAAAAAAACAAAAAAAAAAAACTTAAATTGTTGTCTGTTTTATTTTATCCCAAGTCTGTTTTGAGACTTCTTTTTTTTTTTTTTGGAAGGAAAAAAAATAAATAAAAAGAACCATAGAGAGAAAAAGAGAAACTCAGAGACCTAATTTTACAAACAGCCAGACAGACACTGGTTACATGGGCGAAGGAGGGACAGCTGCTGTGCATTCCAGACAAGGTCGAGACGTCAGTGAGCGGTGAAAACAAGCATGAACTGAATGTTGCCCCACTGTACTGCAGCCAGTGGAGATGCCAGCACATCTGGGTGGGGGGGGCAGGGTTTGATGAATGCTGGTGCTCCTCTAGGGAGTGGCACGGCTTTTCCCCAGAATTATTTCCCCTGTTGTGATTTGGTTATTACTGCTTTTGACAGTCAAGCAAGATTAACTGAAGAGATAGACATGCCACAGAAGTCAGGACCTGAATGAACCTCTGGTGTGCATGTACCGAACCGCTTCCAAGATAGTGTGTTGTGGAGGGTTCAGCTTTATGCACTTTACCCTTGCAGCTTACCAAGCAAAAATAATACACCAAAGTTTTGCTAAACATAGGTATTTATTGTCTAAATTAATGTGGCCCTTTTGTGAGCTGAATGGTTAAAAACATGCCTGTTAATTAGGCGTCTGTGCGTCTGTTTGCATGCGTTGGATTTTTAGCAGCCTGTTTCGCTTCTTGTTGCTCAGGGTTCCTTTGCCTTCTTGTCACACACTTCTGCAGCTTAGCCAAACTAATTAGATGAGTSCAAGTCATCAGGCACTGTTTAAAGCCTTCAAAGGGATCTCTGTTCCCCGCTGGGTGCCCACTGGCAGTGAGCAGAGAAACAGTAAACCTAGTGTATCCCTGAAACCCCCCGAGACAGCCCAAACACCACCCCGCTAACTCTCCAAGCCACCCGCCAGCAGCCGCTGTGACATCACCACCCCATTCTTTGACCCCTGACCCGTCAGAATGTTTGACCCCATGCTCGGGCTTGTGACAGTAGAGCCTTTTGTTTAGGGGTAACATGGTAGGAGGGCTAGGAGGGGTCGCAGTGTCATTGCTGGGCACCAAGCGTTACTCTCCCACCCAGGATGTGTGACTGGATGAGAAGTTGGGGTTTAAAGTGTTTGTTTTAAACGAAGTCCCAAATGAGCCACTTGCCAAAAATACAGAATCTCAATATTGTCAAATTTATTTCAAACAAAGCATCATGCACAAGTGTAAATCAAAAGGAAAAGCTGCCACAAACAATAGTTTCAGTTTTTTTAAACTTGTTCATGCATCTATCTCTGAAAGCAAATGTGAAATGTTGTTGAATGTAAGAGATGTAAAGATTTATTTTATGTGTGAATCTGTGTGAACTTCCGATTGAACTGCACTCTTAACCCTTCCTCAGTCTCAGTCTTATTTTCCATTCTGCAGTTTTTAGCACTTTCAGTTTTTCAGGTTTTGGGGTCCTTAAGAATCATAGTTTTATGTTAGCATTTCACTCATGCAAATCACCAATGAAGTGCATGTTGATAACACCCCAAAAATAAAAAATAAAAAACTAATATTTATTTGTCTATTTTGTTTGTCAGATCTAGAGTTTGGAGACGTCCCCCAGTTGACTCCAGGAAGTAAACAGATGATGGCAGACGCTGTGATGGCCACCTTTAGCGGCTTCACAAAGGAACAACAGCGACTGGGAATCCCCAAAGGTAATCCTGTCAGCTGCTTATGATCTGATTAGTGCCTGTTAACATTTCCAATGAGAAAATCAATTTTTAATCAGCTAGGCATGTGCCTGCAAATGTCTGCAAACAGTGTGACTGGCAGTATCATCATGTCATCTAAGTTTGGTTAATAATTCCTCTCTGCTCTGTGTTCATTGCTGTGTGACAGTTTGCAACTGGTACTGAAATCTAGTGTGCAATCACAGAAAAGTACACTTCTTTACGGGATCAAACACATGTTTCCATAAATGTCCTCAATAAAATGCACAAGCTGTTAAAATGCGCTTCAGCTTTTCCACGTAAAATCTAACAATTCAAATTTTATTGCCCTGCAGATCCCAGACAGTGGACAAAAAAACACGTGGCTGAGTGGCTAACATGGACAATGAATGAGTTCAGCTTGAAAAATGTAGCTTTTGAAAAATTTAACATGGACGGAGCTACGCTGTGTGCAATGGGGAAGGAGCGCTTCTTGGATTTAGCACCTGACTTTGTTGGTGATATCCTCTGGGAACATTTAGAAACACTTCAGAAAGGTAAGGCCGCTTAATTTGAAAGTTAAAAAAATATTTTAAATGTCCTTTTCAGTATTTTTTTTAAATAAAATAAACTGTCTGATTTCAATACATATTCCAATTGAAGATTTAATAGCAATAACTATAGTAATCAGAGCTGAACAGGAAGGCACCTTTTGGTTCAACTCATTAATTTTTAATAGTGCTGGATGCAGTTACATGATAGAAAAAAAAATCAATGATGAGGTCACTGACGCACACTCTCTATCCATTTTTTATGAAGAGGATACAAAGCATTACCCCATCAATGGACTGACCTCCAACTTCCAGGAATCCCGCTATACCTCAGACTATTTTGTCAGTAAGTACTCATCGCAGTCCTTTGTCAGTCACACTGTTTAACGGCCAAGGTTGAATGCTCAAGACATGAATGAAACTGCAGAATGGGTTGATACTGCGAACAACAACAAACCGTTTTGGTTGATTTTAGGAAAAATCTATTCATGCTGTCAATTTTCTGGGTGTTTAGCCCTTCAAATAAAAACTATAACTATCAAAACATCAGGTAAAATTAGCACTAACATTTCAGCTAAGTTAGGTCTCATCAACTATTATTCAAATCTTAGTGTTATGTGGAAAGGTAATGAATGAATCATACTTAACTGGTTCAGTTCAAACAAAGCTAACTTCTAGCTTAAGCAGGGAAAAAATGTCTGCTGTCTAACTCCAGTCTCAAAAATGTTAAGCTGAGAATATTACTCTACACTATAAACATTGTCATTTTCCATTTTAGTGTTTTTTTACCTACAGTTCTATAATTATAATACTGGGAGTGCTACAGCTAGCAGAGGTGATAATCTTCAGATGGCATTTGCCAGCACGCTGTCTATGGTGGAGAGWTAGAAGGTTACCAACAGCTTAGTCTGTAAGGTGTTCCATCTGAGCACTGTCAGGAAGTGGAGTTGCTGCTGGGCCTTCTTAACCACTCCTGTGGTGGTGACCAAACTGTACCAACCAGTCCCACCAGAACRGTGGCAGCTGCATATTAGTGGAGTGAGAGGGGGTGCAGTCACAGGTGGAGATGGCAAATAGAAGTGGGCTCAGCACACAGCCTTGGGGGGCGCCAGTGCTAAGCGTCAGGGTGGAGGAGCTGAGTGCACCAATCCTTACAGACTGAGACGGTTTGTAAGGAAGTGCCTGATCCAGGCGAAAGTGAAGACAAGTCTTAGGCAGCCAGTATTTAATTAATTTAATTTGCAAGATTTGTTTATTTACTAAGCAGCATGAATCATTCTGCCAACGTACAGTCTGATCAGTTGAGCAGCACATTAGCACAAGAGAGATAATTACTCTGCATTAAAATTAGCTTTCGCTTTTCCTTCTTAGTTGCCAYCCCCCACTGTCCAATYTTGCCTTTCATCCACATCARCTCCTTATGTGTTTCCAGGCTACGGCATCGAGCACGCTCAGTGCGTCCCGCCTTCTGAGTACTCAGAGCCCGGCTTCATCACAGAGTCCTACCAGACGCTCCATCCCATCAGCTCCGAGGAGCTGCTCACGCTCAAGTACGAGAGCGAGTACCCCGGCGTCATCCTGCGAGACACGGCCCTGAACGCCATGCAGGGCGACTACTTTTCTGTCAAACAGGAGGTYGTGTCCCCCGACAACATGTGTGTGGGACGCCTCAGCAGAGGTGAGATGGCATATGTGCGTGCTGCGAGCCTATGAAGCGTGCTGCTGAGATTTGTTAAAGGTTGTCGGATTTGTATTGGAAATTCTCAGTGGAAAAAAAGTGCAGCGTTTGTAAGCATTTTTTTTTTTGTTGGAGTGTGTGTGTGTGTGTGTGTGCTTGTGAACCTGTAAGGTGTCTGTGGGTGTCTTGCCTGCATGTGAATGTGCTGAAGCTGCCAGAATATTGTCATGCCATATCAGTGTGCATGTATTAGAAGAGAAGATAAGCAGGCCCTCTGGTTGGTTTGTGGTTCGAACAAACCGCCTCACATGCTCAAGACTAAGCTGGAAAAAAAAAAGCAGCCTATTGTTTTTGTCAGAGTGATACACAAACCAAAGCCACAATGTGTTCTCTTCTTGCCGCCTTGTCCCTTATGTAAAACAGTTCAAGTGGTTTAACCTTAAAGGACTGTTTTTTTCCCTTTCGTTTCTATTGGCCTCCTTTTTCTCAACTCAACCTCTACATTCTGGGTAAGCCGATAGAGGTGTCATCTTCAGTGAACAATCATGGGGTTTTCTCATGAAACGCTTTTTTTGGTTTTGTTTTAAAAACGCCCGCTTRTTTTCTTTTCCAGCGATAGTTTGCAGAAGAATTAGCAGCGTGGTTTACATTTATGACCATAAAGCGAGGCTTTTATTCGCACAAATCCCCAGCTGTATAAATGAAGAGCATGTGCTATGTACTGTACACCATGCCTCTTGTGCTCTAAGACTTTCCCTGCAAGATTTAAGGTTCAGTCGTCAYGCAACGTGCATACCAGGCTCGCGAGCGTCACGTTGGGCGCGCTCGACGTGGGAAAGTTCTCTGGAGCACGACTGACATCCACATGTGGCTTCGATTTGACCAGCTGAAGGCTTCAGCATCAATAGAGGCGCAGCATTATCTGTCATTTGTTAATGACTTTGCATTCAAAGAGCGTGCTTATCTTTCCCAGGGCCAAAAATAGCAAGACTGTTTGTATGATTGTCTTCCATTCAGAATCAAATTCAAATGGTGGTTGTAAAAGCCAAATGAGGTGTGAAATGGAGAGATGGGACTCAGCGCAGACTGATGCTGCTTAGTAAAATAAAGCAAAACAAAGCACTGTCACTGCTAAGATATTCATGCTAAACAAGGGTTTTAGTTCACTGATCTTTTATGTGAATSKTGCATTTAAACACTGACAATAAATTAATGAGAAAAAGGCATTTTCTGAAGAAATAACRTATTGCTCTTTTGTTTGCCAGTATTTTAGAATGCGATCATTTTAAGATTAAGGAAGGAGTTAAATGACTGTATGCACATTCTRATTAAGTCTAATATTAGAACTTTAAGTATGTTTTGAGTATCACTGTTCATCACTGTCACACCAAACCGTAAAATAATATCTGTAATTTTAACTAAGTTATACACATTTTTTTATGATGGAAAACAAACAAACAAAAAAAAAAAACAGTCACCTCTTGGCCTTCTGTGGTGACAAAAAAAGTAATTTGTGACATTTTGCAATAAGATTTTTCAAATTTAAAATATTCCTCTAATGCCTGAATTAAAATATCTGTCGTAATCTTTCCCTGCCAGGGAAGCTCGGTGGCCAGGACTCGTTTGAAAGCGTCGACAGCTTCGAGAGCTGCGACCGGCTGACTCAGTCGTGGAGCAGCCAGTCCTCTTTCAACAGCCTGCAGCGAGTACCGTCRTACGACAGCTTCGATTCGGAGGACTACCCCACCGCCCTGCATGGCCACAAGCCCAAGGGCACCTTCAAAGACTACGTGAGGGAGCGCTCAGACCTCAGCAAGGACAAACCAGTCATCCCTGCGGCGGCGCTGGCAGGATATACGGGTAAGTCTTCTAAAAGTCGAATTTTGGGCTGAAATATGTGGAGCTTTGACAAGTTTCTCAGACATTAACAAAACAGATAATTTAAAAAAGACCTTCCTTTAGAAGGAATGTAAATTTTTCTAAAACCTCTCTTGCCAGTGTTTTAAATTAAAATCATCTTATATTGCAAAATGACCTTCCGTTGTGGTAAAACCTTGCAAATAACATGAACAATGTCATGCAACACCTTGTGTAATTCTGAGTGTTTCTTAGTAATGACGCTTAACCATTACTAAGCCAAAATTTAGCTTGATGGCTGTAAATTACACTGAGAAACAAATGTTTTTCATGTACGCTGTGGTTGATTTGTTGTTGTGGCCATCCTTACAGTAACTGGGATGACTCCAAAAAGTAATCAATCTAGAGAAAGTTGAAATAATATCTTACAGATTATAATATCACTTCTACTGAAGAAGCAGTTACAGAAATGTACCGGTATGTGTTTATTTTTCTACATTTAATTCTCATACCTTTGGTTGCACAGCTGTAACACACTTGTTGCTGCTCTGCAAAGCGACCCACATGTGAGAGGGCTGTAATGCACTACTTTTAGACCAAACATAACAAAACAAAACAAAAAAAGACACCTTTTACCTCAACTGCCCAAGTTAGGAAGCAAAGTAGGTTTGCTCCTGCCTCCTTTTTCTTTTCTCACTTTCTTGCGCTGCCATCACGCCTCATCTACCTCTTTATCTGGAGCCCGCATCTCAACCTATTTTTTTCAGGTCGTCCTAGCAACGCTGGTGAAATGAAGAAATTGTGCCTGCCCCTGTGCGTACAGCACCAGAACAAAATTATCTCTTTATCTTCACACTTGTACCCCCCCACCCCCCAAAAAAAAAAAATGCTGCGTTCTTTCAACATTCTTTAGKTTGGCTGAGATGTGGAGATACTTGCAACTTGTGAAACAAGTGCACTATTTTAGCATCTGCCGCACGTTTTAGGTTTCAAATCTGCTTTCTTAGATGTCCGAATGATGCTTAAAGACGCTCAGTGCAAACCAAAGGGTTGTCTTAAACTGCATCAAATGGCCCAGTTTGAAATCGTTTTGGTCCAGTAGTTTTGCAGAGTTATTGATAGGCGGTTCTGAAATGTGAGTTCATGCGCAATGGTAAACAAAGAACTCAGCTGGAAACCATGTCGCAATTTACTTTTAAACTTAAAAAATTTGAGGGTAAATATTTACCAAAACAGCAAATTAGTCAAAGTTTTTGATCCCAAACTCTACCGTCACTTCACTTTGGTTGTTCCTGCAGGTAAAAACACACGTGCGGTGGTTTAATAGCATCCATTCACAAATTTTGCCAACACATTTCCATTGATATGTGTAAGAAAAAAAAATGCATAGGTTTTATTAATACTTCATGAATTTTGTTCTGACCAGTCTTCATGACATTGCAGTGAGTAATACAATGTCATGGTTTTATTTTGTTTTGTGTTTTTTCAAGCTTTGTGTCAGCTGCCTCTTATACGCCATTCACACTTGGTTTTTATTGAAACCTTGGTTTTAATAAGTGGTTAAAACTTGTAAAAAAGTCAAAAAACGTTATGCACAATCGTTTGCAATGCTGTGAGATCTTGCAAGTTGTGTTAGTGCGTAGATGTGTTGAATGACTTTGCTACTGCCACCCCAAATTTTAGCTCATTAGATATAAAAATCACCACGGTATAGCCCATTATGTGCAAGCTAAAGTAGACTAGCAGTTGTTGCCATCTTGAATTGAGTTGACTTCCAAAGTATCACCAACAAACGTACAAAAAATGGTTAACGTCAAATATTTACACATAGATCCTGTGCAATCAATTGGCGTTTAGGGTTTAAGTTGGGGCCAGTCTCAACTATTACAACACCAAACTGTAGCTCAACATCTGTAAGTTTGACTGAGTTGTAGCCATTTTTGTGTTTACTAATTTAGCTTCTTGACTTAGGTTAAACAGTTCCAGATGTATATCCAATGATTAATTTCCTACAGTTTCATTAAAATCTGTCCAGTGAATAGGGAGATCCTTTTTTTTCTAAGTGTACAGACAAATGATACACACACATGCACACGCAAGCAAAAACATTATAGCTTATCTGCAAATCTTCTCTACCCAGCAAAATTAGATTGTTGAGGAGTTGTTCTGTAAACGCTGCAAATTATTGGGACTTTTTTCGGTCTTGTTCAAATTGTAGTCACACGGCTGCATGATTGCCTGCAAAAAAAAAAAAAGAAAAAAAAAAGAGGGGAAATCCACCACATTTCACAAATGATACATACATCAAATCTTATTAGACAGACCCAAAACCAGTATGTACAAGTTAACCGGTCATTTGTATGATTACTGGTTCAAATTTCACTTGTAGAACAATGAGCCATTCATTTGCAATGATGTTGGAACGATGTTGTAATGTATTCATAATCCAATCACGAAGGATTAAAGACCGAGCATTCCTTGAAGGAATGMAAATCACACACTGTCTTTCATGCCAGCGTTTTAGACGAAGCTCATCTTTAGTTGAGCAGGAACTTTTTTTGGTCAAGCCATGAAAATAGGGTTCTGCACGACCTTGTCCCCTGTGAATGACACGCAGCTACTACCACACTCAATATTTGTAAAACTAATTGGTAGTCATTTTGAGGTTTTTGAAGGTCAGTTAGATGTGGGAGCCACTTTTGCAAGGGTTGGCTTCAAATGCTAGTGTTGTATAAGTCCCTCTAAATGAATACTTCTTGAAAGTAGCGTTAAAATTTCTGCAGTGGTTCAGACAATATTTTACTAATGACGAGACAATTTTGAACAGACTTTTTTTAAAGCTCAGAATATGTATTGTCACACTGGACTCTTGGTCAGTATTTGTAACTGATTTGTATTTTTGAAGGTCAGTTAGCTGTGGCGACCATCTTGAATCCAGCTGACTCCAAAATATAATTAGTCATAGACAGACATCCAGTGAACACTTTCTCTTAGTTTTATTAAATTTCACATTGCGATCCACAAGACATGCAAAATCATTGCTGTCCTACAACAAAACACAATCACCAGCTTCCCTACGTTTGAGAAACTAGAATAAAGTATGCAAGAAGTAGAAAAAAAAATCACTATTTCTGAACAGGCCACATTTTCTATGGACTCTAATCTGTTTATATAAGGAAATAAACACAGTTGGTGAAATATTTCTGCAGAGGTTTGGCACTTGTACAATTACCTTTTTCAGCTTTATACAAAGTAACCGCTTCTCAGTTACTATGGCTTTTTATCCAATAAAACAGAAGAAAAAAAATAAATCATGCTTTTATCCTTGGTGTATTAGTCCTTAAAAGATGGAGGCATGCTTTCTGCTTCTTTCTGCCTTGCTTGAGTACACAGGTGAAGAAAAGGTGAACAAGAAAAAAGATGCATCTAATTCAAATGAAGCTAACCTTGAAATAAAGCAGCAGGCTTTAATCCATGTATAAAACTGTGCTCGTGATGCTTTGTAAAGTTGCTCTGCTTGGCTTCCTGTCTCAGTCACCGGGGGTGACAGGTGACACTTGTAGCATGGATGAGGAGTCAGATAAGACTGCAGAGAGATAAATGAAGCTCCGGTTGCATCTTTGTAGGTTTCCGGTGATAATTTGCCATTTACACCTCTGCCTGTAAAACATGTTGCGCTTTCTGCACGTATGAAAAAGATATGGATTTGCCTCTTGTCTGCCTTCTATCCTACAAATGAAAACAGATCCAAACAGGTTTGCACTGCAGTGTGAAAGAGTTGATCACTTTTAGGTCATGCATCATTATGTCGAAAAATTAGATTTATTTATCTTTGATTCTTTTTTGTTTGTTTGTTTTTTTGTGCCACAGCTATGGAAGCATACAGTGAATAAGATACTAAAAATTGCCATGAATAGAAAAGCCCCCACCCGTTCATGAATCTGTTTCAATACGGCCCTTGTGTATGACGATTGTTGCATATTTTTGGAAACTTTTTTTTATGTGACAAGGGTCGCCTGTATTCTAATGTGAGAGCACAGTGGGTTGGTATTACCCTTATGTGGGCTGGCTGTTGCATTGCCTGACTTTTGAACATGAGCCGAAGCTCTCGGTGTGAAAGAGAAGCAGTGTTGCGAAGCAGCAGCTTCGTTCCAAAACTCAAAGTGGCTGTTGTCATGCACCCTCTTCAATTCTGGCAGAAGCTAAAAAAAAAAGTAAAAAAAAAAAAACGGTCTCTGAAATGCCATTTTCAAGTCTTCAGCCCACACATCTGTTTCCCTGAAAGCATTTGGTTTGCGTTGTGTAAGGGCACGTTTGGTTTTCTTAGGCACTCGAGAGGTGAGCTTTGCTCAGCTCCAGTTTTTGCTGAGGCGGCGTGCTGCACAGGCAGGTGTGATTTCAACATGCGAGCCTCAAAAGTGGCTGTGTTCTCTCGTACGTGCAGAGAAAACCGCACGATCAAAGCATAGCGCTGCGAATCTAGTTCATAGACAAAACCAGCACTTTTTTGATGGCCTTTGTTCTGCTTTCCCCTCTTTTTCCATCAACTGTAATAAACTCTTGTATTAGTGTTAAAAATAGGCTTCATTGGATTATCTCTGTTCTCTCTCTCTTTTTAAAGGAATCCCATTGTAGCACATCTGGTGAGTTTTGTTCTGAAACGGCCCCATAGATGCCTTGCAGAGGCCTAAAGGCAGCGGCTCACATTTTAAACCAGTGATTTCACCCGTATGGAACKCGTAGACACAGACTCTAGATTCACATACTGTACAGGGCAACTGGCAGACAACTTGATGAATGAGAGCGTTAWATGTAGGAGGACATTCGGTTCCACTGTCATTCTTCAACCTGACCCAGATTAGAAGGTTTACTCGGTCCCTCGACAGACACGACTGAATTATTTGCATGAATATTTAACAGTTTTGTATAGAAGGAGCGTATAATGTGTTGAAATATAAAGCTCTGTCTGACCACATTTTTTCCTGTCAAATTCATGCAACATCTCTAGGATTAGAACAACTTCAGTCTGAATGTGTGCTTACATTAKTTTACTAATTGTTACACAACCCTATGAGGAAAAATACCATGATATTTAACCTGGAAATGCTTCAGACTGTAAGTGCTACAGCTAGCTGCTACTTCTGTTGCTTTTTGTGTTTGCAACTAAAAAAACAGATTTGTCTAACTTACTTAACCAAGTTATGTCAAGTGGTTCCACTCAACTGTAAATGTAGATCTACACCAGTAACACAAGTAAATGTCTTTACTTTACTCAACTCGATTGAGTGGAACCACTTGACATAACTTGGTTAAGTAAATTCAACATTTTTCATTTATTTATTTATTTTTTGTATAAGAGGGCTGCCAAATGACCCATATTAGCTGGGTTGTTTCTGTCGAATTAAAGTGTCCAGGAAAGGATGCTCTATCTCCCGTATTCTGAGTGCAGCCTGCAAGCGGAGCAGTCATAATATGGCAGGCAGGTAGGCATTTGTCTAACGCCCTGAGCTGAAAGGGGTCCCCAAGGAATGGTACTAAAGTGGCCAAATGCAACAACCATATGAAATGACTGAGTTGGCAACCCTAATATTAAGGTGATTTATTTAAAAAAAACCACTGTATTGTCAAACTGGTGGAAATGCTTTAGTTTAACAAATAGCATTTACCTGAAAATGTTGAGACTGCAGTTGTTTTTAGTTGTGTTTAGGTGTCAGCAATCCAGATTTGTTATGTTTGAACTAGCCCTTAGCTTGTCATTTGAGTGAGACTTTAACTCTTTTTTCTTAAACTGATATTATTATGMCCCCCGCACACGAAGCGTAAGCGGGAGTCATATTGTTTTCGTACCGTTTTTTTTTTTTTCAGTGATTTTTGGTCAACCGTAGCACAAAAACAGCTGCACCGATCAACATGAAACTTGGCAGGACTGTAGATGAGTCCGACCTACACTGCGCCAGCCAACGGTTTTACAATAGACCCCTTATTTGAGGAGGGGGCTCCTTGGACATGTAAAAATTCTTATAACTCAGAAACTGTTCAACATAGGAGCTTCAGATTCCTTTTGTTGTTAAGCTCTGATGAAGCTCTATCCATCAGGCCCACCAATCAGTGCCCCCCCAAGACCCCCAATTTATCTGAAAAAGGGGTGTCTGGACATACAAAAAATGGTTATAGCTCAAAAATTATTAAACATAAAAGCTTCAGATTTCTTTTGTTGTTTAGCTCTGATGAGGGGCTATCCATCAGGTTAACCAATAACCCCCACCCCAAAAAAGACCCCCACCTAAACCACTACAATTTTGGGATGCACCTAGTAGCATGACATTTGTTAGGAATAAAAACCTCTGAGCTCTGGTGAATTTGTGCGTGCGGGGGTCATTATGTTACCACAATGAACTAGATACCGCTATCCAGTATCTAGTTCAAGATGTATCTACTCCAGGCAAATTATTAATTGTTCAAATCCTTTCCACACAACTCCATGTAAGAAACCTACAGTTTCCCTCACGTTTAGCTTTAGTAACCTCTTCAGTGAAAGCCAGATTTGAACGTCTTCCACCAATAATTAAACTTCAGACTTGGAAATGTTCTCAAAAGCAGATCTCGTCGACTTGAGCTGACACTTACCTCAAAAAATTCTCACACCAGCCAGCATCAGCACATAAACGGCAGTGAATTCTTTCAGTCTCGCCGGCTCAAACAAACACCTTCTCTCCTTCTCCCATTTGTTCTGCAGGCAGCGGCCCCATCCAGCTGTGGCAGTTTCTGCTGGAGCTGCTGACCGACAAGTCTTGCCAGTCCTTCATCAGCTGGACAGGCGACGGCTGGGAGTTTAAGCTTTCTGACCCAGATGAGGTGAGAGGTTGTGACCCCGCTGGTCGCTGGCACTCAAGATGGGGGGTCTTAAGTAGTTGGCCAGATGAACAAGATGTCTCCTTTGTTTAGAAAGAAACAGTTGCCTTTTGTGTTTGACTTTATTATTGCTTGTGACTATTTATCTGGTTTTGCATTATTCTTTCAAGATGTGACTTGGTTTCAGACTTAACTTAGTAACACTGTTGCTCATGTTGCTGTTCCAGGTCGCTCGCAGGTGGGGCAAAAGGAAAAACAAGCCCAAGATGAACTATGAGAAACTGAGCCGTGGCCTGCGTTACTACTATGACAAGAATATTATCCACAAGACCTCTGGGAAACGCTATGTCTACCGCTTTGTCTGTGACTTGAAAAGCCTGCTGGGCTACACACCAGAAGAACTGCACGCCATGTTGGACGTAAAGCCTGATACGGACGAGTGAGCAAAATCTCTATAAAACAAAGAGAGGACAAATGATAAGGAGCCACTCGGACTGAGGCTTATAAAGTGGTCTGAACTGTTCAGTAGAGTTGGTAACCCATTTATTGGCAGACCAAAAAAAAAATGTTTTTAACGACAAAACTGTGGTCTTTATCAACTTTGAGCTCCTGTCTCTCAGAGTGTGATTTAAAAGGAAGGCAGAAGCCAAAAAAACCTGTATTCAAACCCTGTTGGATTTGAGATATGAGTGTGTGCGTGTGTGAATGTGAATGTATCTGATTCCTACTGGTAGTATTTAGCAGTTCAAGGCAAATGAAGTCCTGTTGAGTAGAGTTCAGGTTAGTGTCTGTTCTGTGCAAGTAGCAAAGTGGAGGAGGCAAACCAAGATACTAAATATAATAAAACCAAAAGAGAGAGAGAGAGAGAGAAAAAAAAGTGATTCATTTCACTGCTGGGTTAAACTGAAAGCAGGTGATAAACTCCTGCTGAGATAATGGTTGCCAAAATGTAAAAAACTGAACTTAGGAAGGTGTTATGTCATATTTCCATACATGCTTACTGTTTGTGTAGAGCGAGTAGAGATTTTTCAAAACCAAAATTAAAAAAAAAAGTGACATTAAGGAGTCAGTGTTGTGCCAGTATTAGTTAAAACACCCAAATCAAGCCTACAGAGCCTATTTTTGTCCATAAGTGTGTTTAAAGTCAAGTCAAAAACTAAATGTCAAGTTACGACTGTTATGCGCTCACTGATTTGCATCAGCCAACACTATAATCCCTGTGCTTTGTAGGTGTGTGTGAGCGTGTGTGTGTGTGTGTGTGTGTGTGAGGACCCGGTAGGGATTACTCATACCCGAAGAAGTCTGAAATGCGACTGAAAGTAGCCGTTGCTTTTGAAACTGACGCTTTCACCTTTTCTTACAATGTTGCCACCTTGTTACAGACACATATATTGACTGAAACTTTTTTTTTTTTTTTTGCGTATGCTACCAGTATTAGCAAACTGTAGACAATCTACGTGGGGAAAATTCAGGAGTCGGTAAGAATCAGTGTGCAAATTTAAAAAAAATGTCAGTTCACTGTCCATGTTTGTTTGTTGTGTTCTAATAGTCGTATCTATGAAATCAGCAGTTATATAACCGAAGGAAGGATTTCTATTTCCTTTTTTTTTCCCAAAAGAATGTAGAACGACAGTTTATTTTTGTCTGTTATGCTGTCAGTTTTGGCCAAAAGAAAGCAGCCGGAGTGCAGAGTGATGGTGCATTGTTAGACAAAAGGAAAAAAAGAGGTAGAGAATAGAAGACTGATGTAGATGAAAGTGAAAGGAAGGAATCTGTAAATAATGCAGGTGATGACTGCTTGGGATGTATAATGGATGGCAGTAGACAGTAAAGATACAGGTTACCCATACAGGACTCATTAAAAAAATATTTGTGCAGTTTGCGTCAAATAAAAGCATTACAACTCACTGGTTACATTTGACCAAATTGGCAGCAGAGTCCCACTTTCCCCTTCAACAGTGGGAACGGGGTCTGCACACTGGGAAATGCCAAAGTTGAACATTATCTTCAATGTTATTGTTTACAGTGACTGAATGTTACCCCTTATGGATGAAAATAGCTTTTGAGATGTCTATTTGTACAGATTGTATTTCATAACGCTTTATTGGGGACCCGGATTACACAAATAAGCAGGAGACAAAGCCGGAATAATAACCAAAACCCGTGTGAGGTCTTTGGCTATGGGGCTTTGGGTATACGCGATGTTTGAAGACATGGACCAGAAGTCTCATATGTGTTGTTTTTATTTTTATTTTTTTGTTTTGTTTTGAAAGTGTTGTCTTTTTGTCAAAGTTTTGTTCAGGTTTTTGTAAAAGCAGACAGCTTGGGGACAAAGTCTTTGTTGATTTCCCACTGAATGCCGAAAAGTGATGCTGTAATTGTTGCCGTCACYATGAAGCACTGGCTCTCAAACTTTTGTTGCTTCTACAATACAGAGAATTGGATCCGAAACAAAAGAGTTTGTTATAAACTGCACTGTGCAAACATTCCTTTTCTACGTTTTTATTTCAAAACAGTGTTCTTTTATTTTGTTGCCCCTCCATGTTCTAAAGAAATATTCTATTCCATAAAAATGTTCATATTTTGACAGGTGTTTTAATTTTCACGTGGGAGACTTCAATCTGCTGCAGGACTTGTGTTTTAATGACTCGTAGGCGAGTGCACACATACAAACGTTTTATGGCATATGCATATCTCAAAACAAATTCAGAAGGAAAGCCTTATTGTTTTGGATGTGGTTCTTTTTCTGTATATTTTATAGTGTCTTTTGTATTTTTGTTATGAGATCATTTTTTATTGTATTTAGTTCACAAACCTTTTGAATATTTTTCAATAATTTATATTTTATAAAAGACGAGAGATGCAGACAGCTGGTGCTTTCACAGGAATTTAAAAGGTAGCACAGAACAAAATAATGTAGCGATTTTTATTTTTTAATTGTTTTAATATTATTTTTTTCTTTTTTATATGGAAAACAAATCTGTCTGCTATAGAAATTAAAAAAAAAAAAGAAAAAGAAAGGCTGATGCTGGCCCATCAATGACTTCTGCTGGAAAGGTTTTATAAACTGTAACTTCTATTTCTAAAATGTACTTCAAAATGTTATAAAATATATGTGAAGAAAGATTTTATCACTGTGTGTGCTGTTTCATTTTTATTCAGTTATGATTCATCCGAAAAGAAAATCAGTCCTTTATTTGAACTATTGTTTTATTTTTCTTAATGATAGCCTTTATGTTCTTTTCAGTAACARTAAATAACTGCTCTTTGAAGGAATGCATGTAACCCAAAATTCAGAAGAGTTTTAAACTTAAGATGATGAAAAGGGACTGAGTTACAGTCATTTTGGTCAAACCATGTGAACAATTTTATGCAAAAATCTCCTGCAACAGTCAGAGTTGTAAAGTAATTACTGTAAGTACAAATACTTTGTTGCTGTACTTAAGTAGAAATTTTGGTTATCTGTACTTGAGTACTGTGATGGACTTGCGACCTGTCCAGGGTGAACCCCGCCCCTCGCACTGTGACTGCTGGATATGGGCACCAGTGACCCACGCAACCCTGAAAAGGAAGAAGCGTGTACAGAAAATGGATGGATGGATGGATGGATGTACTTGAGTAATTATTTTTCAGCATACATTTTACTTTTACTCATTGCATTTTTACACAATTATCTGTACTTTCTACTCACTACATTTTTTTTAAAAAAAGGTAAGAAATAGAAAGTTGTTACTCTTATTTTATTCTGAGTTGTTATTACTTAAATATCCTGATAAATTGTGTCTCCTGGGTAGAGTGATTTTAATTGTAGTTGGATGAGAAGTATAAATATATACCAATTTGACACCCTATTAGCTTGTACACAACCCATCRTCAAAAATATTTTTTGGAGAAGTCACCTCCCAATAATTGTTATTTTGGAAAATCTAACTGCTCACTTTTACTCAGTACTTTTACTTTTAATACTCAAGTAGATTTTGTCAGAAATTTACTTTTGATACTTAAGTGCAAAAAAATTCTGATACTTTAAGACTTTTACTCAAGTAATATTTTTAGAGAAGACTTTAACTTTTACCGAAGTATTTTTAATGATAAGATACTTGTACTTTTACTCAAGTATCACTTTAAGGTACTTTATACAACACTGGCAACAGTACAAGGTCTTGCGATGTTTGTTGGTACTCAGAAACAGTTTTGTGAAACTTTCTTAGGAACTACCACATGGGGTAGGAAAAATCATATTGTGTGCAATTAATCTTCAGAAAACTGTCAACAGTTATTATTTGCCACTAATGGGTGCCCATTTGAGCCCAATGGTGAAATGTAGCATGAAGCAGCTAACGCTAGCCCAGCCCTTACTTAATCATCAGAAACACTGGCATAAACCAAAGTCTAAGAAAAGCCAGACTAAGGCCACAAGTCTGTCGCATATAGTGCAATTACAATCTAGTATTTGTCATATTCATAATCAGTTAATCGCTCATTCTTACCACATCAAACCAGCTCAATAAGTGCTCATTTCATAGAGTTATGATCATATTTACGTTGGCTAAGGTTGATTAGCTGTGGCGACCTTCTTGAAAGTGTTTAGATTACAACTGCTTAGCTTAAGAGGTCAAACTGTATATCCAGTGCTTTTTTTATTAATATTATTAGATTTTATTTGTTCAGGACAGTGTGCAATCAAAACATAATTTGATGCATTGCACCAGATTTGGCCTAAGGCTAATTTACATCTGTAGGCCCATCAAACAGTAAAAACACAACAACATCCAACAGTAAAATAGAGACGAGAGGAAAATAAAAGAGAAAAGAAAAATAATATAAAATAAAACAATTTGCAATTAAAAAAATACATAAAACACCCCACCCCACTCTCCAAACATAAAACCATGCCCACCTCCACCTCACAGTCTGGCAGACAGGTGTGTCTCAATAAAAAAAGTCTAGTTTCAGTATACAGTATTAAAATAGTTGCTCAGTGTTTTATACACACTTGCTTGAGATTATGGTTCTGTTTTGTATTACTTCACTTTTCGTAGTTTAAACCCAGATGTAGACTCTTCAGCTTCAGCGTTCAAGCCTCAAAGTTAGGCCTGRACAAAACTGAAGGATTGTTGGTGAATGAAAACAATTAACCATGAAAAAAATTATTGTTTGGATGGAAGAAATACAAACATTTTCAGACTAGGGATCGTAGCTTCAGCGAGCAGATGATGACTGTGCTGCAAGGCTTGTCAAAGACTRTGTTTCTCTGCCAAGTCTCAATAAAAAGCTGTGGTGGGATGTACTGTATAACTGTTAAGAAACATCTAATCAACCTACTTGTATTTCGCATCGCCTGCTGCCAAGAAAGGCAGGCAATCATGTATGTGTGTGAAGTAGTGTAGCAAATGAAACCACAAAGAGAACATTTGTGAAAAAAATACACAACAAAAGYACATAAGCGCATTCTAACATCATGGTTCACTTCGCCACTTGTTTTACATGTTGTGTTCCAGTTCTAACTGCTGTGTTTCATGCACACTGATAAGGTGATGCAAAAATGAAACTGACACACAGGGGCCCATTCATGTTCTTGCAGTCTTATATAAATTCCACTGTAGATGGAAAACATGCAGGGCCGTGGCCTGCTGCCCAAAACTCCACAGATGTTTGGCCCCTCTCTCTGCCGCAGTGTGGCAATCAGACTCAGAAATTCAGGTCAAGATCACAGGATTTCTTCGAAGTACGATTCTGAAAAGACAAAACAAGCGCCTTGAATTAAAACTTTCTAAACACAGAAATGCCATATTTACTTATTCAGCAGTTTTTTTTTATACTTGAATTGTGCAAAATGTTGTTTTAGAGTTTGTAAAAATCAGCGATGGCTGTAAAGAACATCTGACTTTGTTCATGTCTTCCTAAAAAAAAATACTAGACAGCTGATTCTATTCCGGATCTTCTCCTGGTGGTGCTGTTCTTGGCTGAGAGCAGGCTGATGTTACCCAGGTGGTTCTTCTCCCATTCCACCTCCCGACTCGCCTGATGATCCAGACCAGACGTGGCTGTTAGGCAGATTTAAAAATACTTCTCCAGGCAGTGCCTGTTCTAACAGACCTGAAACAAAACCCAAATCATTGTGATACCCTTCAAACCTGCCTACCACCCATCCAAACACAGACTCAAACCTGGATCGGACACACTCACACATACGCAGTCCTGAAAAGCAGATAAGCCTTTGATTGATTTAGGAAAATGCAAAAACAGCAAAGAGGAGAAGAAACCATAGCARAAAGTGTGAATGGTCCCACCTGACAGTCACAGAGATGACCTCCAGACAAAAAAAAGTGTCACCTCCTGTTTTTGACACCTTGCACCAACTGTGACTCATTCATCAGATTTCAAATGTAAATGTTTATCTAAAGAGAGTTTTACCGATTTATATCTGTCAACTACTCAGAGTCCTAACATGACTGCCTGAGACAGGAAGATTACAAAGATATTCTTGAGTCTGCAGAGCTGCAAACGACAGATTATATTAGGGATGTTGTTGTAGTAAAATGTTATTTTAGATATGATTTATTTGGTTAAATAAAAACAACTTTACTTGTGTTTTTTTCTCTTGGTGTGTGTTATTGTCTGTTAGCAAAATGCCCACTAGACAAATTTAAATGAAACTCATAAATAAAAGTTGGATGTCTATAACTAGTCAAATCAAACAAAGAACCAACCAACCAACCAACCAACCAACCAACCAACCAACCAACCAACCAACCAACCAACCAACCAACCAAACAAACAAACAAACAAACAAACAAACAAACAAACAAACAAACAAACAAACAAACAAAAAATCAAACTCAAGAGGTCAGCTATGGCTAG